GCTGCAAGGGGTCACACGAGCCAGAGAGATGGAAACTACCCTGCCTGCCCAGCTCCCTTGCCTTTCCCAGGAAGTGCAAATACAAGAGACAGCATCACAGCTGATTCTCTCTCTCTGCCCTGGGAAAACAGAAATCGGGAATGAGAAGGAGAAAAGAAAGAGGAGGGAAGGAGAAAGGAGTTGCACAAAGACAAGTGGTCTGGAGAGAATGACAAAGTCAGAAAAACAGTGATTTTGAATCAACAGATGTTGCTGAAGAACAGTGCTCATGACATGAAATCATTATTAGTTAATCAACAATTCATTTTTCCCTATTGTCAGACTTGTGGTGGGGTCTGAGGAGAAATAATGTAGACCTCTTAATGTAACAACAGATGTAGCTGACCTCTGGGTTTTCTTAATGTACACTTAGGATATTAACCTGTAAACCATCTGTTTAATGTATAAAAATATTCCAAGACCAAGAAACTTCAAACAGACAATGTGTTTGCCTTGATTAGTTTTAAAAGATTTTCTTGGAAACTTTTGTCATTTAATCAGTGCACTGATGCCAAAACTGCAATCAATTAGACTAATTGTGAAAAATATGCAGACAAGCAAGACTTCATCTGATGCCCCTCACTTATCACAGAAATCTTCAGTATAAAGGCAACACAATTTCCTATGTATTTTGGTCTCAAAGAATTTTCTTTTCACATAGGAAAAAATATATTTCTCCTTGGTCTCAAATAATTAGAGTGATGGCTGCTTTCACCAGTACCAGTACCATTTACTAAGTCACATTTTTAATTTCTAACATTTTAATTTCTCTAGAAAGTCAGTCTAAGAGTAACATTAATAATAATAAAAAACCCGTCTTGAATGTTTTCAAGGTTTAAAATAAGTAGAAATGTTCAAAATTAACATCAGTCTTGGCTGCTTTTTGATTTATGGTTTAATGACAAGATAAATACTCAGTAGCAAATTCAAACACATGGAAAATCCCATATGCCACATAAAATTACAGTATCCCACAATCACAAAGTCTGGCTGTAAGCAACAACTTTCTTTGAAAACTCTTATGTTCTCTGAAAGTTGCAATAAACTGCATCGAGATATTCTTCAAATGCACCCATGTAACCCCCCCATGCAGTGCTGACATTACAACACAGTACCAAGCCCCAAAGGCTTGTTCACTTCCATTGAAAATTATCTACATCAACCATGCTTTTCAGTAGGTATCTGAATCTAAAAATGTCATATTTTTAAACAAAATCTGATATTTTGAAATCCACCATTATATTTGAATGTTACTAAAAATGCTTTCTATAATGAAACGTCAGTAAACTGTTGTTGTTGTTGTTGGGGTTTTTTTTTTGCTTTGGGGTTTTTTTTTTTTTTAGTTTAATTCTCACGTGCAAACATTCCTATTTTAGGATTTTCCCTTATGATCTATCAAATTCGATGACCTTTGCTTACTTTTGATGCAGGGAGATTCTGGTGGACCTCTGGCTTGTGAGGAAAATAACATCTCTTACCTCTATGGAATTATCAGCTGGGGAGATGGCTGCGGCAGAGTCAACAAACCTGGAGTATACACAAGAGTGACAAACTATGTAAAGTGGATTAATGAGAAAATAGCCCCTCGAAAAACTAGTTGAATAGTTAAATACACTAACATTTGAAGCAGGGTTCAGGAGTCTTTTGGCTTTATTAAGGTGACGTTTATATTTTATTATAAGCTGGTATGAAAAGTCTCATGGTAATTCTTAGCAGTTCCAAGCCAGACCACCAAAAGCAGGCCTGCTCCATCTGATGTCAGCAGCCATGATCTGTCATTCAAGGGCTGTGGATTGCTCAACACACATGACTGCCTTTATTTGTATTAATAAAAAAATCTCAAACATATCGAGACAGTGCACAAAAATCTGCAAGTCTCTGTCTGCTTGGTGGATTACCTAAAAAGGGATTTGATGTGTTCTGCAGCTTCTGGTGGAGCTGTCATCCCCCAAACCAACCTGCAACAATATTGTCCTTGTATGCTCAGTTGAAATGAAGAAATAAACAGGAGAATCAAAAATGAAATTCCCTCTCCCTGAGAAATGATCTCCTGAAGCTCAGGGCAAGAGACACCAAGAGAACAACGTAGGTAAAGCTGCTCCTCAGCTAACTGCAACAACAGGCCTGGGGAAAGAATCCAGAGGGTTTAGGTTTTCTTTCAACCAAACACATAAGCATATTTTCATATAAACCTATTTCTGTGTTCCACTGACGTAAAATCAGGAACGTGCCTCAGAGCTCTGCTGAATCTGGTGTGCAATTTTCCAGCAAGGTTAACACAACACCTCCTGAGAGCTCAAAGTCTTTTGCTGAAAAATGTTGGAAGTTGGAGCAGCTGATTTAGGTTGATACAGCCAGGACCTTTTGCAGACTGTGATCTGCTCCTTGCCCTGAGGACAGCAATGGAAACACTTCACCTTGCTGATAAATCCCTAAACGTTTCTTTAATTTGACAGTGTTTTGAAGATGTCTTAGGTTTTGTACTAACAAGTTGTTCAACTATTTAGATAATTCAGAAAGGAGGTTTCTTGTAACAGATTTTTCAACTGGATGGCTGGGGTGCAGCTTGACATTTTCCTTAGGGATTTGGTGATATCATAAACCACAGGCTTTACTGTCATGGTCATATGGAATTGTTATGGAACAACCAAAGCAATTAATACAATATACAGCTGTTTAGAGGCAGTGGACTCAGCTGTATTAGCAAAAACAGGCAGAAAATGATTCAACAGAAAATGTCTGACAAAGAACGGAAAATTCTTTTTTACCTTTAGCCATGTCAAATGTGTACATTTAGGTGTTGTGAAATGTATTTCTCCCCTGGTAGTGAACATTTATGGACTCTCTTAAGTTTTTCAAGCAAAGTTGTTTTTTAAAGTAATAGAATTTTAAAGCAGTGCCTAGATATTCAGATGTGTTTTTTGTTTGCGGTGTCCTCATGGGTTTCTTAGTAGTGGTGAATGTTATCTGCAGTTAAAAGATATTTTTTTAAAAGAAAAATAACCAAAACCTGCATCTGTGTAAGTGCAAATATACAACAATGCTAATGTAGATAAATGATGTAAACTGTTGAATAAAAACATTTACCCTCTGTTTCTTGCACTTAGTCTGTTATGTATAAAGTTACGGTAAGATCTTTGAATCCCTCTGTAGGCTGTTCTAGAGGTTGAGAGCTGGTAGAAAGATGAAATAACACTTTGCGCTGGAAGGCGTTGGAAAATCTCTCTGTAAGGGTCAGTTTCAGCTGGTGGTGCTCCCAGTTTAATGCAAGTGTCATGTACATTTCCAGTAGGCAGATGTAAGCACCTGGTATCTTTCTCAGCTATTGATACTGTGAGTCCCAGGATTAAAGCCTTCAGTTTGTTTTTCTGAGGCACTAAACACTAGCTTGAAAAACTGAGATCCACCTCTGGGATCCTGATTTCAAACCAAGCTGAAGACTCTCGTGTGGCTCTGCCTCCCTGGCCATTTGCAGTATGAGTCTGGCTTACTTAATGCCCTAAAATGAATATGACATGTGACAGGACTAACTGTACCTGCTGCTGAGACAAGTACTGCATCAGCTGGAAGGAACTATTTGCTCTTCTTTGGAAGGGATTCATCAGGAACAGGTTTCCACTCAAAGTTGAAGCCATTCTGAATGTCTGTATCTGTTCTGTGACTTTAGTTTCACTTTGAAATTAATATCTATCCACATTGTGCACAGTTTTGATCCTGCACTTTCGTGTTGTATATACTCTCTTGGTCTTCTCTTGAAGTACAGAAGGTGGCTGTTTGATAGAAAAGGTGTTAGACTGGTGTTTCTGACCATTTGTGTGGAGTTTTTTTAGCTGTCCTGTTTTTAAAATCTATGCTACTTGTATCAGTACACAGCAACACCAGTACAAATAACACACTTTGAAAACTATATTGAATGGTCTGTGTTATGCCCTCAAAGGTCTAAATGACAAATCTCCACCTGATACTGATTTGAATACTTTGAATGCATTAAAATTAATTTGTGGCTTTCAAAGCAGCCTGTTTATCCACTGTGACTGCACTGGCTTGGTGGAACTAAATTAAAATAATTTGATCCTCAGCTGTGATGTGACTGGCACAGTGTTACAAGCACAAATAGGGGTGGCAAGGAGATGTCCAGGTTATGAGATGTCCTGACTTCTCACACCCTGCCATCAGTCACATTCCTTTGGGGCACTCCAGCACCCGCCCCCTGGCTTTCTGTTGAGCATTACCCCATGGAAACTAATTCTCCATATTTTTCATGTGATTATTGCCTTGGTTAAAATGAAAACCAAACTCAATTAGTGAAGTTTTATCTGATATTTTTCCCATCTCTATATTGAAATTGAATTAGAATGCAAAGTCAGTGGAACAAACACTTCCCTAATTCATTATGAAACACACTTAAAAGATGGTTTTGTTAAATTGTATGTTATTCCATGCAAACTGACCGATTTAAAAGGAAGAAATAAATGCAAACATCTAAAAAAACCCCTTCTATTATGCTACTGAAAGAAAAATGTGCTGTAGTGCTATTTAAAAAAAGCTGAAGAACTAATTACCATCAAATAAGATGCAGCAGGAGTATTTTTGGAATAATGGACTCTAATTAGTCCATTGCTCGTGGAAATAAATCTGAGGACATCATTAACACATCTTATTCTATTAATTGTAGCTGCTGCTGGTATGGTGTAAGCGGGTTGTTATCTCGTGACAGTTGCATTGCAAAGAGGAAAAAAAAAGTGAGAAGGGTATTTTTATCTGGGGTAGTTGGCAGCGTCTTCTGGGAGCCAAGGAGAGCTGTAATTATACTTTTGGAGAGTGAAAATTGGCCATTGTAAGGAAGGTGCGGGAAGGGGGCGTTTTGGCCGGCCAGAGGCGGATCCCGCTCCACCAAGCGGATCCGGTGCGGGCTTTGCGGCCGCCCGGGCGCGGGGCAGCCCTGCGGGCAGCGGCAAAGCCCGGAGCCGGATCGGGGCGGGGGTCGCGCCCGGAGCGGATCCGCGGCGCTCCGGGTGCCCCGGGCTCTGAAACACTGAGGAAAGAAAAAAATTAAAAAAAAATAAAATCCAAGATCCCCCCGCAACCCAGAAGTAAAACACGTGAATAAAGACTCATTGGGACGGGCCGCAGACCCCTTTCCCCAGGCGGCAGGTCGGGGGCCGGGCCGGCCCGGGCCGCGCTGGCCGCCCGCCCGCGCGGGGCCCTGATAAAGCTATTTTGGAAGTGACCCCTCGGGCGGCCGGAGCGCGGGGCGGGCGCAGCGAGCCGGCGCAGCTGTCCGGAATCATGACTGAAGATGACGGATTCCGTGGTGGTGGAGGGTCACGTCAAGTTGAGAGACGGAAAAAAGGTCCCCGCTCCCGGCGCCCCTTCGGCCCGCGGGGGTCCCCTTGTCCCGAGGGGAGAGAGCCCGCTCTCCCCCGCGCGGCCCCGGCTAACCCTGTCCCTTTGCCTCTCGTTGCAGTGGAAGAGCAGGTGGCTGGTGCTGCGCAAGCCCTCCCCGGTGGCAGGTAAGCGGGGCCCGGCGGTGGGGACGGGGCTCGGGGCCCCGCAGCTTGCCTGGCTCCCCGGGGCCAGTGCCCGCAGAGCCCTCGGCGGGGCCGCCCCAGAGCGGCGCTGCCCGGGGGCCGCGTCCGGCCTGGGGGCGAGCTCCTGCGCTCACTAAAAACAACGGGAAAAGTGACTTTCCAAGGCTTTTCTTTCTCTTTTTATTTTTTTATTTTTTATTTTTAATTTTTTTAAATTTTCTTCTTCTTTTTTTTTTTTTTAATTTTGTATGGTTGAACTTATTTGTTCAGGGTGGTTGCTGGCTGTGAAAAAAAAAAAAAAAAAACCCAAAAAACAAACCAAAACCAGGAAAAAAAAAACCACCAAAAAAACCCCCCTGACATTGTAAGCTTGGTAGTTATTTTCGATCAGTGTTTTGACAGAAATTATCACTTCGATTTAAAAATAAAATGACATTTTGAATTGAGGAAAAAAAAAAAAAAAGATCGTTTCCATGCTTCTGAAGGGGAAATTGAAAACCTTACACAGAGCTGATGTTTTACTGCTGCAGAGGGAAAAGTAGGCTTCAGGTTACCCCATCTGTTCCCAAGAGGGAAAACATTTGGGCCCAAAAGTATATCTTTCCAGGGCTAAATGTTGCTTACACTTGGAAAATGTGAATCTGAACTGCTGCAGGATGGATTTTGGCAGCCTTTCGTGGCTCTTGCTAGGAAGACTGAAGGCTTTTGAGTAATTCTTTGTTACCTGAGTTGTTACAGTAATATTTAAGTGTTTTAAGTACCTTTATCTCATCTAAATCTGTGAAACTTCCGTGTGTGAAAGGGCATCTGTTGGTCTAAGAGCTAGTACATAGACCTGTGTACATGGGCCTGAGTTTCTATTGTGAATAAGCCAGCTTTGAAGGCTGTAGATGGTGGAGCCTGACGATTTTTATTCTAGCTAAATTAGCCAGGTTTACTAAAAAAGCCCCTGGTGATTTGCTGTTCTTGGTATGTAAACCATAGCCGTTCTTCAGACACACAACTGTATCACAGAATGTTTAAATACCATGGCTGCAGCTGTTTTTGCCAACAGGTGCACTAAGACAATTGGGAATGCATGCAAAGCTGCATTAGTTAGCAGACAGTTTGGTCTTTCAGTCATTTTTCATCTCTGTGGACGGAGATTTTGCCAGTCCCTTACCCAGCTGAGAGTTGCAGGGCACCTTAGTGGGGCTGGGAGCACCACCCCCAGTATTTATAAAATGGTGTGTGGGGGTCTTTTGTGGTTTGTAGCTCAGCTTAAGCTGTGCATGTTGCAGCTTTGATATTGACCATTAATTTCATCTACATCTGAGTGCTGTGTGATAGAAATGAATGTGGGGGAAAGAAGGCTGCTTTTGTCATAAATTCAAAAGGTGGGAGAGGTGACTGCCCTTTCCTTTTGGGTTTGCTTGTGAAATGCTTGCTTTCCCCATGGGGCCGTGGCACTTGAATGAGTTTCTGCCATTGCATAGTTACTGTGTAATAAACACCTCTGGGAAGTGGTCAGTAACAACTGGTGACACAAGCAAACACTAAAAAATAAATAAATAAAAGAAGGTGTGGCACATAATGATTTTTAGCCATGGCTGCTGTGTAGTATTTAACCGGGAAACCTGAGCTGACAGGAGCGATCTCGCAGCGCAGTCTGCTTGCCATTTAGTGGTTGGGTAATCTATGAGCTACTGTAAGAATTTCATTTGTGGTTCAGTATGTTCTAATGAAAATACAGACAACAATAGCCTCTCGGTCTTTAGAGTCTGTAATGTGGACAGCTATCCTAGCATAGCTCCCAATGCTCTGAATTAATGAGTCAGTCCCCACCGGACTCAGGAGAGGATCCGAAATGCCACTGGACTTTGAATAAAATAGGGAAGATTTATTGCTGACCTCCTTATTTTTGAGCCTGCAGTTTAACCCTTAGAACATGCCTTCAGTGTTTGCTTCCTGGAAACAAGGACTATGAACTACCTGGGGTGGGCTGGGAGAAGAAATCAGAGTTTTACATTGACTTGGTTAAGCTGATCCTGCAGTTGTCTAAAGCTCCTTTATATTGCAGCAGAGTGCTGAGAATTTTGTTCTGGTCTGTGCTCTGCATCATCATCTCTGACAGTTTTGCTCCTTTTAGACTGTTTGCTCATGCTGGTGTACAAGGATAAATCTGAACGAGCAAAAGGGCATAAGGAGAGGAGCAGCATGACCTTAGAAGACATCTGTGGCTTGGATCCTGGGCTCCCCTATGAGGGCCTGAATCACACGCTCGCAATCATCTGTCTGTCCCAAGTTGTGATGCTGGGATTTGAGAACAAGGAAACCATGTACGCGTGGGATGTGCGAATACGCTACAGTTTGGGGGAAGGTAACCTTTGTCTTCTCATGCTGTTTCTTTCTGGTTTTTTTTTTTTTTTTTTCTCCCACAGGGTAAAAATCCAAAGAAAAGTGACGCTAAAATGCAAACGAAACTGTACAGTTCAGGACAGGATTGTCACTCACTTGAGAGTGGACAAACAGTTTTCCCCCTTACATGTTAAAGCAGGTATCCCTTCCAATAGGTTTTGACTACAGTACCACCCAGTACTTGGATAACTGTGACATCTCTTAACCTGGGGTTTTGATATGGTGTGTAGCCTTGAAACAAAGTGATCAAACTTCTGATTGTGGTCCTACAACTGACTCAGGGATTCTGGCCAAAGGACTCGGGGAGGCTGAAATAAGAGATGCAAAGTCCTGAGCAGAACTTTGCCAGTTCATGCCCAGTTTGCTGAGCTGCCTACTGGGTGTTGCATTGATAATTCTCATTGCTGCTAGTGTGCCATTTCAGAAAGAGACTTTTTTGCACTAAGGTGTGTCATCATACACCTTCTTTCCAGCTAACTTCACCTTTCTCTTTCCTCCTATTATATTTTCTTGGTTAGCAGCTCTAAAATGTACTGTGGTGAACAAAGAGTGATAATGTTGGTAATCCATAGTATCTGTCTTATGTTTGTTTAGTCATAACTAGGGAAGGAGGGTAGGTGTGTGGGAGACACACATTAGCAATCTTTATCATTTGTTACATATGCTCTGCCATCTGTTGGGTTTGTGGGCTCGTTCCTTTGCAGTACATATGTAGAAAGATGGCCTGGGAATTTTACAGTAAAAATATGTAGAACTATAAGAAGTGAGATGTGTGGATGTACCTCTCAGGGCTATCAAATATGAAGCCTTGCATAACAGGAAAGGTTAGAGGGGTTGCTGAACAATAGGAGCATGAGTAGCTGGAGTGGTTTTGCACTTTGATGATACAGTTCTGTTGTCTTCCAGGGCTGTTTTGCTGGGGGGTTTTTGTTTTGTTTGTTGGGTTTTTGTTTTGTTTTTTTGACTAGGTTTGGAATCTATATATAGCATAGACTTGTCCTAAAAGCTGAAGGAGTACTTGAATATAACAGAGTAGGTCTGTTTTTTTATGATCTTGCACTGATGTAGTGCTGGAGTAATCTCAGTCTGGGTGAGAGGGTTATGGTTGGGATTGGAGGACATGGAAAAGCTGCAAAGAGTTTTTTTAAGGAAAGCTGTGAATGAGGTAGGAGTAGATACTGGATTATGATATGTGCAACCATGGAGTAAAGGTGAAGTGGGAGTGTGTGTGGAAGTGAAGAAATGTAGAATTAAGAAAACAAGTGTAATTGGTTGAACTGCCAATAAATTAGTATAAAGTTAATTGCAAAAAAAACTTGGGGGGGGGGCGGAGAATAAACCAAAGCACTGAAACTTTTTTCAGAATTTTGTCTTTCAATGCATGTTCAATTAGGAGAACAAAGTCAAAGGGAGTCTAGTTTGAGTATAGAAGAATAGAAAAGAGAGAAGATGTAGATGAAGAGAGGACAGTGACTGGTGTTTTTTCTTAAAGTGTAGCAAGGGTGCCTTTGTGTGCCTTGAAAATAAGGTAGCTGGATGATAAAAATAGGCTAGGGAGAGATGACCTCAGAGTCTGGGAAGCAAAAAAAAAAAGTGAAAGGAGCTGACAGTGTTCTTGAATGAAGACTGCAGAATGGAGGTGTTCATACTGGAGTTCCCAGTGTTTTCTCTCAGTTTTTAGCAGATGAGGTGGATATGATTCCTGGAATGTGCTTGGGCTCATAACTCATTTTGAGAAGTTAGCATGCTGCAGGTCAGTGCATAGCTGTGAAAAATAAAAAATGGGCTGAATCAAGTGGTGGATTGAAGTAGTGTTTTTGTTCAGAGATATACTCAGCTATGTGTCTTTGCAATTTTTTTTATAGAGTAAGAAAAGTCAAAGGCTGCGGAGAATTTTGAAAAAAATTCCAATTTACCAAGAAAGCAGTGTATGAAAAAGGTTTTATTTTTAAAAATGCCTTTCCTTTTACTTAGGCTTCATTCAGATTTGGGTATGCTGTATTTTAACAGTGGTCTAGAACTTGTGCTGGAGCTCTTTGTTTTCAGCAGCTGTTGTAACTTGCAACTGATTGTGTGAAGAATGGGCTTCATTCCTCTATTGTGAAGGAGAAAGAATCCTGATGCTGCTTCTCCCATGATTCAATTGCCAGCAAAATACTGGGCAGAGTTAACTGGCAGGAGGAGTACAAATGGCATTAAAGATTGCTTTCTGAGCATTATTGATCATGATGGTTTTGCTGTCTTTTTGATAGCTGATGTTTAAGCAGGTTGCGTAACAACTTCGTGCCCAAAAGGGGACATGGTGTGACTATTGATTTGCTCCCTAGCAGTGCTACTGGCAGAGCTGTAAGCAGAGCTGTGGTTAGTTAGATCTATCTCTGTCTCCTTGCACATTTCACTCGAATGACTTTGTGGCTAATTCTGCTGGAGCCTCAGGGAACTTAGCAAATGCATGTCATAGATGAGGAGTTGGCTTACAGCTCGGATCGTGACTAAGAATACAGCAAGCAGTTAGATGAGAAGCAAGACTCAGACCCAGATGAAATTTGTGATGCTTGAGGAGGCATGGGCAAGAAACAGGGAAGAGTTGATGCAAGAACTGAGAGTACCTGGAAGTTACCCAGTAGATTTCATAGGCAGGGAGCTGTTTGTGTGATCTTTGATGCATAACCAAAACCTAAATCTATGTTGCTTCTTGATAAACACCACCAAAAACCTCCTCCTGGAAATTTAAGAGTCTGGATGCTTCTCTCTACCAAGACAGATGTTGTTTGGTTTTTTTTTTTTCAATTTGTTGTGGGTTTTTTGTTTTTATTTTGTTTGTTGGTTGATTTTTTTTTGTGTGTCTAATCACAATATGAAAGAAACTAGAGCAATAGTGGAGGTCAAAACAATTGTTTGGGAATTATATGTTGCTCACGTAAATTGTTCCCTTTGAAACACTGAGATTTGAGCCTTTGAAGTGATCCCAATAACTTACTGAGAATGCAATAGCTCTGGAAGAGAAAATGGGAGACCACCCTAGAACAACTACTTTAGGTAAGGATGCTGCAATTAGACAATACTGGAACTGGGATTTGAACCTGGATTTTGTAAACTTGAATGAGATAGGTGTTTCTTTTTCTTTCTCCACTCTTTTAAAATTCAGGATGTAAAATATGAAAAAATTAACTGACATCTAAAAGTGTTTGTTACTTATAAATCACTTAGTTTCCTAGTAATTTAAAATGTCCTGGCATCTACCATCACTAAGTCATGAAAGAATCACAAGGTGGAAAAATGTAATTTTCCTCATTTTACTGCTGGGGAGGAAGCGAAGCAGTTTATTAAAGGTTGCAGATGAGTCAGTGATAGATTTGTTAAGTTCTTTGAGCCTTGGCTTTTGGGCTCCTTCAACACCATTTTATTTTTGTGCATGCATGTGGGAAAGGAGAGACACAGGTTAGAGGAGCAGACAGAGAGCAATCCATGTAATGATGCAAAGATGGAAGAGGTAAGTGAAGTCTGGGCTGCATGATTGACTAATCTGAGATAGGGATTAGCCTGGAAGACAGGATAAATTAATGTAGCATTGCAACTTTAATAACTTGTAGCATTAGGCCAAGATATGGTGGATTTTTTCCAATCCTTAACTGGCATAATAGAGGGTAATGGCCTTACAACTACTTACATGTGGCTGTCTCTGCTCCACGTAGATCTTTTTGCCAGAGTCTCATGGTGCAGGCAGGGTTTGGTCCAAGTACCACAGCTGAACAGAATGACTTACATAACTCTTGTATATTCTGAAGTAATCTTTTTGTCCTTATTTGATAGTTCATAGATTTCAAGTCTTTGTAGCCCCTGGCACAAAGCTAGAGAGTGGGCCTGCTACCCTGCATTTCTGCAATGACATCCTTGTCCTGGTGAAAGATGTTCCTCCCAGTGTCATGGGGCAGTGGAAGCTCTCGGATCTGCGTCGCTACGGGGCTGTCCCGAACGGATTCATCTTTGAAGGGGGCACCAGGTGCGGCTTCTGTAAGTACAAATGGAACCTGTCCTCCAGATGTTGCTTGGTGCCTTTTGCAGAAATGTAAATGCACTCTCATTCCAAGTGGAGTCTGCAGAACCAGCTGTGCTACTTTGTCAAACAGGCAGCCTCTTATCAGAGGGTCTGTTCTGAGTAGATTTCTGCAGGCTTCAACCCGGTGTTCATGAGAGATGTCACCGTGTGCAGTCCTGGCTAAAAATTGCCCTGTGGCTCTCCAGAAGATGTTTAGTCAAAAGCTGCTATTGAATACAGGGCAAAAATAAGGTAATGAAATTTTATGGCTTGTGTTATGGAAGAGATAAGGTAAAATGGCTTAATGTTCAGATTATTAAATTATGATTAATTATTTTGTTGTTTGCTGAGGGGAAAGTGATGTGGAACTTTAAGGTTACAGGCAGCATCAATGTTCTCATTTTGTTAATGCTAATTTCTAAATCCCATAGAGGATTTTTTACTCCTTAAAGTTAGAACAACTTTCTGGTCCCTTCCCTATTAGCAGCTTTGTAACTGTGGGGTGGAACCATGTGATTTTTGGCATCAAAATGAAAGCAAGCAAGCTGAGGCTAGTTTCCATAGCCCAGTAAATAAGATACACTATTATATGGAGATGAATCTCATGGCCAATTTAGGACTTCTCAAATTTTCACTTCAGATAAAATGTATGCAAGATCTGAAAAGGATAGTTAATAAATGCACAAGTATAATAACATATAATTAGGTTTTTATTAATAAGGTTTTAATTTCATAAGCAGGATTTGAAGCCATGCTGAATTGATGGCCTGTGAGCACAGATGGATGTGCAGATTGCCAGTTTGGATCTGAAGTTGTTTGACTTGCATACTTTTTTCAATAAACAAACTGAAAAATTAGATTTCAGAGTTGATCCAATTCCAAATATATTCCTCCTGGGACTTGCATACTGTTGCTCTGCATGTAAATTCTGGTTGCTCTACTTCTATGGAGTGGAAACCCAACTTCCTGACCTCTTTCTGACCTGATGGAGGGTGTGGCCAGGTGGGGATTGGTCTCTTCTCCCAGGCAACAAGGGACATGATGAGAGGAAGTGGCTCCAGGCTGTGCCAGAGGAGGTTTAGGTTGGGCTTTGGGAGGAATTTCTACACAGGAAGGGTTGTCAAGCATTGAAATGAGATGCCTGGAGAGGTGGTGAAATCAGCATCCCTGAAGGTGTTTAAGAAATGACTGGACATGGCACTTAGTTGACATGGTGGTGTCTAGTGAAAGGCTGGATTGTGTCAGGATCTTTTCCAGCCTCAGTGATTCTGTGAAATGAGGAACTGTAGGTGATGGAACCTGAATTATTTGTGGTGGTTTTTCTGTTTTTTCCTCCCATAAGCTTATGCTAGTTTCTGGTGAGAAACAGGAGGTCATCAATAGCTCTCCTGTGTACGTGCTTTTAAAAATATGAAATTATTATTTTTTAAGGTTACAAGTGAACCGAATTAGAAAAGTGCTTTGGAAAAGGTCCCACTACCTGTGGATCATTCTTAAAAAGTGTGTGTGTTGATAGCTGAGACCTTTCAGTTGCCATGAAAGGGTTTTTGTCTTCCCCCTGCATGTATGCTTTCACAGAGAAGAACAGCATAGTCAATCATAGTCAATTTGGTGCAAAATAGCCTGCCACAGTTGGAAACTCTTTACAAGTTCAAGCTGATCTTGTTAAAAGAGTTGTTGCCCCTAACTAGGCAGTCAAACATATCCGCAGGCATAACAACATTTAAATATGTGTTTAGTCTAAACACTTGATTTAATATTGCCACTATAAGAAAAGGCTTTTTGAAAATAGAACCTAAAGAAAAATATAACTCTGGTTATTCTAGACAGAAGTGTGTTGCTAAAGAGAAATACCATCTTTGTTCAGATATCTTTTACCTCAGTCCTCTGGAATTCTTGAGGCAAACAAGTAGTGTTGAGGAAAAAAAAACCTGATATGTTATTACAGAAGTTGTTTTAATTCCTAAATAAAAGCACTCTCCATTACCCTGTCATGTAAGTGTAATATAATATTATGCAGACTCTGTTATTAATGTTACTTTCCTACAGGTTAAACCATATCTTTGCTCACACTCATCCTGTGGAGCTCTGAATGCAGAGGATTAGTGAATTTAAGGTTTAAATATCACTGTAATAGATACCTAATTAAAAGGAACCAATAATCTTGTGGTTCAGTTGCCTCTCCATAATAAAAGACATGAAGTCTCAAACTGAAGCAGAGTTTTTTTGGGTATATCTGTGGTAGAACTGAGATTTAAAAGGATATGAATTTGTTTTAGTTTTCTGTTTCTTGCTTCGTCACAAAAATTTGTATAAAGATAAAACACTTCATTATGTTCTGTTGCTTAGTACAGGTTTAGTTTAACTTCAAAGGCTTTGGTACTCAATCCAGGAAGAGGGAAACCATCTGAGATAATGCTGAGATTTCAAACATTAAATCTAGGTGCATTTTTAAGATGGTTCACACAAGTTTATTCATAAATAGGAAGAAGAGCATTAACATTCTGAACTCCTCGTGCTCTTAAAATCACAATTGTACTGCTAGAGATTAAAATTTTTTTCTGCTTCTGAAAGCTGCAGATAACTTATTTTCTGGGCCAAAATTTTGTTCTCTCTGTAGCTGAAGCTTAGTCACACACCGTTTGCAAAAAAGCTGGTGTCTTGGCCTAGCAGTCAGTTGAGAGGTTTACATGGAGGAACAGGCTGGAGAAAAGGAGCCTCTCACTTTGCCAAGTTCCCAGCTGAATTAGTGGGCACTAGTTAAAATGACCAGTTGCCAGGAAAATCTTCACTTGGAGGTCAGTGTGAAAAAATCAAGTAGGGTAATAAAAGGGCACATTAACACCATGAGAATTCAGGCTCTCCAATGTTCAAGTGCTTCAGGATTAGCTGTCAGAGCCTGGTTTAAAGCTGCCTGATATTTTCTGACAGCATCTCCTTGAGGAAAGGAACTTGTGGGACCCTTAGTGCCCTTTGAAAGAACAAATGCTAATTGCAGGTTAAGCAGGAATATTTCTGTGATTGTTTTGGTGTTTTGATAAAATTTGGTAATTTCTTCCTTCTTTCCTTTCTTGTTTCCCCTTCTGCATTTATTTGAAATTTAGAAGTAATTGGAGTGGTTAAACTGGGGCAAGATCTGGAATTTTTGTAAAAATCCTGGGTTGCATAGATTAAAACTTCTGTTTATATGCAGATATTCTGTGCTGTCTCCTACTTAGGCCTACAGCAGGCAACCAACATTATCTCTATTTATCTATTTTTAGTTGTCATGCCCATATCTTAGTTGGCAATAATAGGAATACTCTGTCATTTTCCCACAGAGAGGAGCAGTGTGAGGTCCCCTCTGAAGGGGTCTGCTCAAGGCCAGGGTTGGGATGTACATGCTGATTGCCATGGAATGAGCTGCTGTGCTTCCTGCCTGTCCTGCAGCTAAAAGGCTTCAGGCTCTAGTATTGTCTGGCACCTGTTAGGAGTAATAATTAGTGGGAAAGAACTGAGTCTTCCTCCCTAGTTTCACACACACTACAGAGATTGAAGTAATTTTTGGCTATTGTCCATTTTTAAAGTGTTTTTGGCCATGGATTTGCTTTTTTAATGTGATGGGTTAAAATCAACATAAGCAAGATTAAGTAGTACTTGGAAGTTCTATGGAACTGGCAACTTGTCCTGCGTGTTTGAGGGACTGTACAATGCTGCCAGAGAGGACTGGCTGAGTGTTTCAGTCTTGTGCAAGTGGTTGGAGGCTGCTTTTCACCAAATCTCATAGCCCATGGAGAGAGCTGAGTGAGCTCTTCTGTCTGGTGAACAGCTGCATGGTATTACACTGTGCATATCACACATTCCTTGGCTTCTAAATGCCTGTGCACCAAACCAGTTCCAACATATGACTGAGATATGTAATTTCCAGTAGTGAATTTCTCAATTTTCTCAAGAAAGGAGAAAAGAAATGTAAACACTTGCTTTTATGTATGCTTTAGTTAAGCTCTACCTACTCATTCATCTCCCTTTATGTTTTTTGTAAGAATCTTCAGGCTTCTTCCTTCCCTTGCAATCTAGTTCTACCTACCACAACTAGAAAGAAAATGTTTCCTGTGAAAGTCAGTCAGCAATTAAGGTGCTCATATGAATAATAGAACCTACAAAGAGATTACTGTCTTTTTCTGTTGGATTTGTGTCCGCGTGCATGTGGACATACACTCTTTGCAGTGGTTATATAAAGGTCATCACATTTGGTTTTGGGATTTCCAAATGACTGATAGTTATTTGCAGAAAAAATCCTTTGAGTTAAGCAGCCAGCTCACATGCACACATTTACTTTCTTTGTTTCCATTAAAGTCAAAGGCTTGAAGAGCCTCTTAGGAGTTTAAGTAGCTCTTGACAAAGGTGATAAAAGAATGAAGTGGTCCAGATGTACTCCTTATGTACAGAAGTATTTGAGGAATCTTTTCTTTGCCCTGAGTGGCAACAGGGAGGTGTAGGATTCTGCTGAATTATCAAGCCACATAGTGTATCACTGTACTTGAGACCTGAATATCCTCTGCTATGTTGTGTCTATATCCTGCTTGCTTTTGATGCATGGCATGCAAGGGTCCTGTTCCTGTAGACTCTGTACTCTGTTCAGGGAGGAGAAGTCAGTTCAAAGAAAAAGCTGATTTTTAGATAATTCCTGAATGCACTGCACTCAGGAATTTTTTTTATCCTAATCCAATGTACTCTGACTTTGTCATCTCCTGGGGAGGGGAGATGGGGCAAGACTGCAAGTGAGTCACCAGCAGAAACCTTCTTGTCTGTCAGGCTGTGTGATTAGTGTTGTAATCTCCTAGATGGCCTCTGATCATGAAGCCACGGTGTGTTCATGTTTCTTTGGCTGCAGAATTATTGGTAGGTAAGATCTGAAGAGATGCAAATGTGGTGGAGAGACAAATCAAGTTATGAAGATGCCTCTGACAATGCTGTCTTGGATAGATTTAAGCAGAACTGGGAGAGACCTAAATGTGACATAAATTGAGAATGACAAATGAGTGTGGACCAGAATATGTTTTTCCTAGAGAGATTAGTTTACTGCTTGCTGGTGATACCTAATTAACTCAAATAGGTATTGTGGTTTGTGGTCCACTCTCCATTATCATTTGGTTTGAATCCCACAGCCCTTTGTCAAGCTGTCAAAAGTGTATCAATTTCTTAGGTGAAATGTGAGTATCCTGTTGGATATGACAGGGCATATGTTTGGAAAGTGATGGGAATGAAGTCATACTAGTCAAGATCAGCTCTGCTTCTTTGAGTAGAATTGGAAAAAATACAGATGCAACTTGGAATTAGCTAGAGACATGCAGAAGCCAAATATGTCCAGATTAGGGCCTGAGTCACAAGGAAGGTAATGTGCAAAACCCTGCTGCAGGTCTAAGATGTGATATTGGAGTTTTCTTGTATGCTTAGCTGTGGTGAAGTGGTAGCACTTCTTCAAGGTCTGTATACTAATTTAATTTCCCTTTTTGTCTGGTATTGAAGTTTTATTTCCCTGAAATTGCTGGTTACTGGGATGGTCTTTTGTCTGATGTTTTAAGATAATATTTTTTTTTTCCTCCAATGAGATTTATATTTGGACTGACAGTTTATGAAATATTCTGGGGAGCCCTTCTAGTCTTTTGTGTTGTTCATATGTCATGTGTCTTGGAGCTCATAACTTGTTTGTTTATTTAGTGAATCTCATTCTAATTTTGCTTGGGGCTATTCTTAATGAATGGAAAGCAAATATCAGAATAGAGCAAAGGGTAAAGATCTGATGACAACCTGTGGAGTTGTGTTACTTTCTGTTAATAATAGACACATAGGACTTAGTCTAGGAAAATTTATACTATAATCCAGCAATATAACCAAATTCTAATTTGTTGGCATATAAAAAGCTCCTCTTGCTTAAAAGTGGTTAAAAGTAGAATTAACTTGGTTCATTATTTTGAAGACACTTTAAGTATTCCTGACGCTTCCTGCATAGTTAAGTCTGACCTACACAATTTTAGGGGTAAATAAGAACAAAAGACCTAGACAGCTGTTGAGAATAAGGTGTCTGTTTTGACATTTAGGGGATATTGGAACTAGATGATCCTTAAGGTTCCTTCCAACCCAAGCCGTTCTATGGTTCTAGGACACTACTTTAACTGCCTGAATGTCATAAAATTAGCATGAATTATTAGACAGCTGTTGAATTTATATGTATGTTTGAGGTATGGTGTGTATGTGTTGACCTGAATTTTTTATTTCTTTTCCCAGGAGAATATCTTGTTGACTTCTTTTCATGGCTTACACTTAAAACTCTTTTGATTGCTATATTATAAATAGCTTCAGCTTAATATATTTTTAGTGTTTCCAGGTGAAAACCATACATGTTTATGTTGTGCTTTCTTGCAGGGGCTGGTGTTTTTTTCCTCTCTTGTGCTGAAGGGGAGCAGATCAGCTTTCTGTTTGACTGCATCGTCCGCGGCATCTCCCCGACCAAGGGCCCCTTTGGTCTGCGTCCAGTGCTCCCAGGTTAATACAGGAAGTACAGAGTAACCCAGTGAAGTAGGAGCTTGTCATGTCTCACACCCACTGCTGCTGGTGTGAGAGCAGCTCTCAGGCACTGAGGGTGTGCAGAGTGCAAAGTGGTTTTCATTCTGAAATGTCACTGTACAGATTTTTAAGCTGGATGTACCTGGTTTCCCCCTGCTGCTCTGGTTCATTCATGTTTCTGGTTATATTGTTAACTCCAGCCTTCTCTTATTTAACAGTACTGAAAGATGGCAATTTGAATTGAAAGGAATCCTAATGTTTTTAAACTTACACATTTAACTTGGATCCAGGTCTGCATTGCTATTTTGATAGTTTAATGGAAAACTAACTTTTGGAGCATTTGGAGTTTTTCCAAAACTAAGTTCTAAGTCTTGTGAGCCTTAGAAAACCTTGTCAAGCCTCCACATCACATTTACATTTTTCAACTTGAGCTTTTTTCCTGATGTCTGAGGATTAAATTCCTTTTCCTATTTTGTGGTAAGTGCTGCGTGTACTGCAATGTTTAAAGGTGGCATCATAATAAAGCCTATTTCCTTTTGATTTCAGCAGACGAAGTAAAGTATTGAGTCAGAATGACTCTGTCAGACAGGGCAAAAGTGTAGAAACGAGATTGCAGAAAATTGTCTGTGATTTGGTGGTGGCATACAGTAGGAATAGATTGCAGGAATGGTGAATGATGACCTGGGATTTGTGGAATACTTAGAGTTTGTGTAAGTGTTAGGCAGTTAATTAGTGTTCAGTAGGGTTTTATTGCTGTTATAAGGTTAAGGTAATTACAGGAAGGAAATGTGATGGAAAAGATTTAGCTTATTAGATCATTAGATGATGAGAAGCTTGTGAAAATAAATTATGAAAAAATAGATAATTACGGGAAGGAAATGTGATGGAAAAGATTAGATCTTCAGCTTATGAGATCATTAGATGATGAGAAGCTTGTGAAAATAAATTATAAAAAAATAGTTATTAGTTAAAAATTAGTAAATGCAGTAAACACAAGGCTCAGTTCATGTTGTCTTTCTCATGATTGTAAGGCAGAAGTAAGTTAAATAATCAAGCAGAATAGTAGACAAAAGTCATTCTTGTGTGATGATACATGTTTGCATTCAGTTAACTGGAGTGTTTTAAAAAAAGAAGCAAACAGAAAAAACCCAACAACAGAAACACAAAAATCAGTGTTTATGCTTAAAGCTTTGCTATTGAACACATTTTTCTGCATATCTAAAACTATGTGTGTATGTAAATATATATATACAACCCTAAGTCTTGTCAAACAAATTTTTGTCAAACAAAAATTTCTATCTGGAAAAATTAAGCATACAAACAACTATTCTGCTGGTTTTTTTTTATTATTATTTTAAATTTTAATTTTAGCACAATTTTTGAAGGTTCATTTTTCAGAAGCATGCAGGAGTAAATCTGCTTTCACATGTTAGTTATCTCTTCTGGTGTTTGTGGGTTGTTGTGCCACATACCACAATCTCTTCCCTCCTTCAGGAACTCTGACCTCACTGAGGTGCCTGAAGTGGATATGGAATGTCCTGGGGAGTATTTGGTGTTTTTTGTAAGAGAAGATCTTTTTCCTGAGGTCTTTCAATTTCTCTTCTGTGCTTGATGTACTTGTCATTAAAATCTCATCCACTTGATTTTGTCTCATTTCCCTGGCTAGGAGAAGTGTTTTGTCAAGAGTTGTGCTCGTGTACTTGCAGACTCCTTTGCCTTTATTTATCCAAGCTACCTTGAGCCCTCTAACTTTCATTCCTGTGTATTTTACCCTTTTCTCTTCCAGTTTGTTGTTTCTCCCTATGTACATGTTCCTTGGAAAAAAAAATAATACTCTTTATTTATTATCCCATGCAGAAGCTTGTACAGATCTGTTTAAGGCACACACAGATGTACAGTTCTGGTGATTCATCCATAAACTAATTTTCCTTATCAAGTGTGTTGTTACACAGAATGTACTGTATTGCTTGAAAAGGTCGAGTCTACCAGCTACACACCATGTGTCAGGTATTGAAATTCACTCAGCCTTTGAAAGCATCAGCTTGTAAACAGATTAATTATCTGCACACTTCAGGCAACTACATCAAAACTTCCAAACTGGGGATTCTACCAAGAAACCTCTTGTCTATATAATTCATATTTACTGCAGTGCAGAATGCTACACAGCTTCAACTGTACTTTATGTATGCAATATTCTGCTTCTGTGCAATTTAAAAGCTTTTAGAGAAACCTTCTTTTCACAGTTTGCTACTTGAATTTGGCATCTTGCCTTTGCCTGTGCCTTTCCAACTTAAACATGAGCTATGCTTGAAGCACTGTGGTATTTTCAAGCAAGGAAAACTCACAAAGGGCAGATGTACAGAGAAAGAATGTAATATGGTAAAAACAGTCACAGTGACAGTGTTGGACACCAACTCCCACAGCACAAATATAATCTATAGATGTTATATAATCAACGTAGTCTGTCCTTGTATTTGTAGGAAAGATGAATTAATTAAGCCAGTTGCTTCATGTATGAGCAGCTCAACAATGTGGTTAAAAAGGATGCTGAAATATTTGTGTTAGCATGAAATTAATAGGAGATGGTAGAGAATGGTTTGAAGAGGACTGAAAAATGACCAGTTTTCTTACTTGCTGTAGTGATTCTTAAACAAATGTAAAATAGCCAGTATCCAAAGGAAATTTGCAAACTGGCTGTGCAGGGGGTGTTTGCTCAAGGACAATATTCACATCTTCTTTTCAGGATTGTAGTTTTAAAAACTATATTTCCTTAAAAGCATGATGTTCTTATCACACGGATGTATGACTGCTGTATGTATTTTATGATGTAATCTGTAAAATATGCAATGAAAATCCAGTGCAGTGGAACTCATAAACTTGACTTGCCTGTGCATGGTTCCACAATCTGGTCTAATCTCTCAGCAGACCAGCTTTGAGCAGCCAGTCAGACTAGAGAACTCCTGAGATCCCCTCCAAAATGAATTGTTCCGTGATGTTTTGGAAATAAATTAAATTACTATTCTCACAATAAAAAAAAACAATTCTGTGTACACCCAAAATAAATTGGAAAAGGAAAAAGAAAATTGGATGTTTTATGTTTTTTACTTGTCGTACTTATTTTGGGAGTCCATTAACTTTTTAAAATTGTACCTCAGTAGTCCTATTGATACCTCCATTAGCAAATTGGAGGTTTTGATTTATTAAAAGCTGTGTGATCAGGTCTCATAAAACCCCCAGAGACAGAAGATGGGAATGTGAGGGTCATGTAGGTATAGGTATCTAGATATTTTTAGGAAGTGTAATATTTTAAATACAGGACTTGAGTGGTGGCTATGGATGGCTTGCTTTCCCTAGCTATTAGTTGGAAGAGAAGTGCTGTAACTGGCACCTAGCATGATCTCTTTTTTTTTTTTCCTTGAGGAGATATTTAGAAAACAGTCCAGAGAATTTACATTCTGTCTTGACAGAAGTCTAGATATGGACTTAGTAATGAATCTCTGATTGCAAGGTTTGTAATCTATACTAAATTGCGTGCTTATTATTTGGGAGATGTTGGTTTATCAGGTTTGTGTTGAACTCCTTTTTTTCACTAGCAAGATTCATCAGTTGAATGCCAAAACTGAACACAGCAAAGGCCCAAGAGCCCATCAGGGATATCTTTGATCAGTGGGCAGACCAGTACTCTCTATATCTGATTATGTGACAGTCTAGTCCTGCAGTCTGGAAAGAGCCCAGGTGTAATGTTGATAGTCTGGATGATCTCTTTTAATTCTGGAAGCTTTTTCAGGCTGCTTTGTGACTGACTGGAGAGCGTACACTTGCTGCTTGCTGAGGATCCATCTGATGCTCTTTATTTTTGTTGAAGCTTGATACACCTTTGGCTGTTGCAAGACAGCTCGGTGGCTGCCTTCTGCAGTATTTTTACCAAATGGATCCTCCTCAAACTTTTAGGACATCTTTTCATTCCTCCAGATATCTTACAAGGTGTGGAGAAGTTAGCAAGAAAGTGAGGGTCCAGGCCTGATTTGTAAATGTGCCTACAGTTACACTGGAAGAAAAGAGAGATTTTCAGCCTATCTTATTTAATTTTGTTTAACAAAGTAATTAACCAGTGTTGCATTTTAAAGGTGCATATAATCAATTAGGTAGCTGCTGACTAAACTGGATACAATACATTTTTTCCTGACAGGTGCTTATTGAACAATGCTGGAGCTTTGAATTACTATGACACTTTATTCGTATGTTACCAAAATATTCTAAATCTCCCACGATGAGCAGCTGATGTGGCTTTAATGAATACCCACCAACGTAATGTAAAAATAAAATCTCCAGCAGAGGCATTTTTAGTCCAGCTAAATTTGATGTAATCCTTCCCCTTTGCCCCAAAGCAGCATTTAAGAAGATTTCGATGACTGCCTCACATAAAAGATGATTTTCTTCATAGCAAGGGATCCATGTTTGATTGGAAAATTATAAAAAAAAAAGTATTAATTGAAGGACCTGAATGAATCACAGGACAGGATCCATTTGTTAACTGTTTGGGAAAGGAAGATACTAATTGTTCTTGGAGCTGCTCTCGGATGTTGTGTGGGCAGAAGCTGTTGGAACTTCCTTGGACAGCTGTCTCCGTACCGGTCAGGCTGCTTCTGTCCCCCTGAGTTACTAACATGGTAAATTGCCACTCAGTTCTTTAGAGGTTGTGTATTGGGGCATGAAAAAGGTAGAGGATTATGCCAGCAAATCCAACTTGTAGCATTATGGCCTAAAAAATGTATTGAAAAAAGGGTTATCACAACAGCACTTATGGGAGTCATAGGTTATGCACTCCAGTGAGGACTCATTCCTAAAAGGTGGCTGCCAGTGATTTCAGCCAGATCCTGTCAGAAAATGTCCTGATTAGAGCTTGGTCATCTGCAACCAAAATACTGGTACAAGAATCTGTTACTTCTGGGGATTAATGTTGTGTGTGTTTTCCATAGAAGTCTGGCTTATTAGCAGAGAAGATTAAAGATGAAACTAAGACTTAGGTAAGACTGATAGGTAATTACCTAAAACCTAGACTTTGTATGTTTGTCAGGTTTTGAAGTTGAACACATGAAGTGCAAACTTTTTGACTTCGACTTCCCTCCTACCTCATCTTGTATTTTATTATAAGCCAATTTTACAAGATCAGTTGTTTGACCATTTTTTAAAAATTATATATTTTTCTGTCTGTAAGAGGGACATCATTTACTCAAAAAAACTAGTTGTTGTGTAGGTGCCCTAGTTATGTTTTGAAAATCTGTATTTGTCAAGTAGTCATATTCTGAGGAAAGTGAAAGGACCATTCCTATTGAGAGTTCTTTGGTGCTGGAAGGGTTAGTGTCTGTTTCCATCTTTGACCAGTTTGCTGATCTGTTATGACAACTTTGTACTCAAAGTGCTTGTAGAATATCTTGGACCTTTTTTGGACATAAGGCATTTAACTGGATACAGCAAAGTAACTGGAAGAGAGGACATTGAAAAATAGGCAGCAGCTTGTAACACTCTATGCTACTGAGCAGATCTTTGCATGGACCTGTCTGGGTTGCACTATAGGTGCTGGTGGCCAAATGTTGAGTTTTCCTTTGGCAGAGGTCCATTGGAAGCACTGGGGGTTTCATTTGAATAAGCAGTTGCACAGGTTTGAACTAGTCAATGTCTAATGTGAACTGCCTTGCAGTGTAAATAGGAATGGACACCTAGCAAAATAATCCGCATCAAACAGTCCTATTTTCTGTCTGATCTGGGACACACAGAGGTCACAGACCCTGTTTGTCATGGGATTGTTGCCTTGTCCCTGTTAGAACACCCTTGGGTTCCAATGTGTGTTGTTATAGATGGATTGTGTATATCTTGGTTTTTCTGCTCATCTTACCCAGATTGCAGACTGCCGAAGATGGAAACCTCCTTGACATGAGAAAGAAAAGTTAGAAAGTTCAACATTGTCATTTCTGTTCCTACCTAGGACAGGTCAGAAAGGGAATTTGATTAGGGAGGAGAGGTGTGGCAGTTTGTTTCTTGGGGCAGTTGATAGTGTAGGGTGTTCTCATGGAGCTTTAGCTGAGCTGGCAGTGCTCCTTCCCCTGATTATGCGCTTGCTTTGATTGCTGTGTTGACAATATCAAAAGCGAGTATTTTATATTTATTATTATTTATTCACCAAAATACCTGGGGTGAAAATGAAACATTTTCTTTTGCCTTTCCAACTGTTTTTTGTCTCTCAATCACAACATTGTATAGCCTTTCTTATCCCTTTTCCCTCTCTTATTAAATGACTCAGTGTTTTTGTGGTGTGCTTCTACTGCCCATTTGATCAGATATACAAGAGCAGCAGTTGTGAGGAAGCTAATCTGTTTTTGCTGTCATTAATTACTTTCCTTGTGTATTAATAAGAATTACTGAAGTTTCTGATGGTGAACAAGTTAGCAGACCATATCCTTTGCAACTGCTGAACATGACATACTCATCAGTGCTATTTGAAGGAATCCTTAAGGTTTCTCTTGGGATAATGGTTATAATTACTTCCAACATCTGGTTTTATTGTTATGCCTGCTGGAAATAAAATTAGAGGAAACTGGCCTGTTTTACTGATGAGACTTCCACATTCTGTTTAACTTTCGGTCTTTCTGCTTTTTTTTGAATGTAATGAACTGCCTTCAGTGAAATAATCTCAGCTGGAATGGCAAGCTCACTAAAATGTATGGGGAAAATCCATAACAGTACATTGTAGAAGTTATATCATCCTAACTTGTCTTGTATTAAACATGAAGACAGAGAGCCACCAGGTTGCTTATTTTATCTCTGACGTCTGAACTTAATGACCGTCTCAACATCCTACTTGAAAGCAAAGTCTTTTGGATGATTTGGATTGGAAGATGTCAAGTTAATCCCTCTGATTCTGACTTTATGATGTAGATTTGTAAATTTCTAGGATAAAAAATTTGGTCTTTCTGAATGTTAAAATTCCCAGTGAATCCAGGACAGATTTTATGTGGGTCAAATTAGTTTTCAAGTCCTCTAGACTTGTTGGATGCTAATTTTTTCTGTAGCTATTGACTTTGGTGCTGTGCTCTTCAGTGTTGCCTTGTGGTAGCTGTTACAGACACTGGATATAATCTGAAAATGTTTGACACTTTTAAGTTACTGCGTAGCACGTGCCCAGGATGTGTGTTAAATCAGATTGTCCCATACATTTTCCCAATCAGCACTTCAAGCATAAGAATGTAATTTTCTCTTTCCTTATTTTTTATTTATTTTGCACATTACCTCCTTTATTTATTTATTTATTTTATGTTTCTTTTTAAAGATCCAAGTACAAACCCAGCCTATTCAGAAGAAAGATTGGCTCATGAAGCTTTGCAATTAGAAAAGCGCTTGAGCTTGCTGTCCCATACAAGTCGCCAAGGTAGTGGAGGTAAGAAATACCTTTAATTAAATAAAAATACTATGCTACGTTCCTTCCTGCCCAGGCTTTAAAATACTAGAGAAATGGTCAAGACATTTATTTGTTATGTGTCTTGTGAGGCAGTTCTCTAACAGCATTATCTGAAGTCCTTTGATGTTGATTGGAGTTTTTCAACTCAGCAGACTTAGTTTTGTGTCAAACACTATTGACCCAGGAAGACCATTTAGGATGCTGAGTCCTACTGAATTTTTGCATTTAAAACTTAAAAAGAACTGTGTTCATCAAATCTGATATCTGCTTAAGTACGTTAGTGCAGCCTGTGAGATGGACTCACTTGTATGGTTCACAGGTCAGGCTTACAGCAGATTTTGCAGTAGCACATAGGACTCCTGTGCTTTCCTCTGCTATCTGTACATGCCTTTTCTGGAGTTGTTAGTGTATCAAAGTAGAATTGGTGTTTAGCCTTAGTGCAGCCTGTGAGATAGACTCACTTGTATGGTTCACAGGTCAGGCCTTTAGCAAATTTTTGCAGTAGCACATAGGACTCCTGTGCTTTCCTCTGCTATCTGTACATGCCTTTTCTGGAGTTGTTAGTGTATCAAAGTAGAATTGGTGTTTAGCACAAGCCTAAAAATTGTCCCTGTGAAGATCCTCAGGAACTTCCTTATGTGCTTATATACATGTCCATGGCTGCTTTGGCCTAGACACTGCTGGGTAATGTGACTGAATTCCAGGGAGACTTCCTGAGGTTTTTCTTAATTAGCACATAACTGCTAGACTTAACTGAATGGATGGAAAAAGAATGAGACTTGATAGATGAGCATGCCTGTTTTTTTTTTTTAATTCAGTCCTTCTGGTCAGAAATCATGGCCCAACCTCATGTACAGTTTCTGCCTTTGTGCTACAGGAAAGTTCTGTATTTCTTTTGTATTTGTTTGGTTTTGTATTTGTTTGTTTGTGTGATGTTTGTGTTTTGTCCTTGTGCCCTTTCAAGACAATGTTTAATTTTTTTCACTCATATTCTGTCTTTGATGGCAGTAATTACCTGTTAAAGTGCCTTTCTTGCAACTATCATTGAAGAAAACTGTCTTGCAATATAGACATAAATGAATAGCAGAATATATTTTTGTATATAGATATGTAAACATTTTTATAACAGTATTATTTTTATTTGTACAGTGATGTATGACTGTATTTTGGTACAGCAACCCAATTAACTATATGAAAGCAAAATATGTTTGAAAAGAGGAGAGCTTGGTGCATAAACTTAAAAAATTTAGCCTCGAATGCATTATGTTCCACAACATGGTAGGGTTATGGCAAGGTAACATACCATTGCATTTTATTTTTCCTGTGGGGCTGTGAGTTATTGCAGGAATTCTGGCTTTCTGACGGCAGTTCCACTTACAAAAAGCAGATGGAATCTCAGGGCCCTTCCTGTTTGTACATACTTGCCATGCTTGAGTCTGTTGATTGTGTTTTAAACGTAGGTGGATGTGTTTCCTTCTTTCCTAGGAGATGATAGGAGTATTTCAAGCTCGTCTTCGGATACCAGCCACTCGGATGTGAGCGTTGGGAGCAGGCTGACAGTGTGGCCTGAGCAATCTTCAGCCAGCACCTCTCAGGAGAGCCATGGGCTGGCAGCTGCGAAGGGCATTCACCTGGGAGAAGAGAAGAACCTTCCAGAAGGGGCACGTGGCACCACTAAACCCCCTCCAAAGCCCCTCCGATCCAGACAGCTGCAGGAAATAGGTCGCCAGAGCTCTTCTGACAGTGGAATAGCTACTGGCAGTCACTCCTCCTACTCTGGGAGCTTTTCTTCCTATGCTGGGAGCTTAGACATTTGCCATGGTGATGAGTTTGGATCATTGCTAAGCTTGCCGTTGAACTTTCCTTCAGATCAGAGTCTATGTACTTGCCCTCACAGTGAGTCCCAGAGAGGTGTGGGATCAGAGTATCAGGTTCCCAGCTCTCTCAGACACGTTTATGATATACCCAGGAGTGTGTTACAGGCAGCTCCTAAAGAAGTGCAGCTGAAGAGTGCAGATTCCACGCTACCCAAGGACCAGGCCCTGCCAGCTCAAGGTGCCAGTGACCCAAGACTGCTACTACCACACTTGGAAGCACGGAGGGGACCTGAGCACAGCCAGCACAGAGGGAGGCCTTCATCCTTACTCACAGAAAGCAGCAAGGACTCAAGTGATGAAACATATGTGGATTTTGTTTCAAGGTGGTCAGACACAAAACCACAGGGACAGGTGTCAGACTCCAAAAGTAGTGAGCTGTCACCACCTGGTGGGGCCTCAGCTGACCCCTGTGACACATGTAGCCCCCACCTTGGGATGACAAGAGCTCTTTTTTCATCTTGTCCAATCTGTGGTGGACTAAAGGTAAATACCTAACACTGAGCGGATGCTAACGAACCTTAGTTAATAGAGCATGATCAATTTAAAGTTACCTAAGTTGTAGGTCATAAGTAATATTGTTTCCTTTATACTCTGCACAGGTAATAACTTTTTCTGTTGTTTATGCTGGAATGGAGAGGCTTAGTACATGATTTCTTCAAAATCTGTGCCTAGTCAAGGAAACACTGAACAATACAGACCACAACCAGTACTTTTAAATCGGCCAGTTTTGGCTTTGGGTACATTAAAGTGAAAGAGGAAAGTTTTGCAGCCACTTGATTTCTCATATAATGGCAAGCAAGCATGAAAGACACTGATCTGTCTTGCTGTGGGTATTTACAAAGAAGGAAGGGAGGATAAATAGTATATGCTGCTCTTAAGGAGATCTGAGTGCATACTTTTATTTTATTGATGTTTTTGTTTTCTTTGTCACTGTAGTTTGAACATACCTTGCACAAGAAGCCAGGTTAGACCTGTTTCTCACTGAGGAAACACAAAATAGTCAAGTCAGCATGGCAGTCTGGTTCTGTGACTGGCCAGTGACAGGTACTTCAGAGCAGGTACATAAAATTCCACTAGCAGTCTACAAACAGGACTGTTTATTTGCAGAAAAATTTATTTTTGACCACTGGTCACGTAAAGACTTAAACCTAAACTGTGGGGGTTCACTTGCCTTTCCAAACACATTTGCCAGTTCTTGTCTTTTTACGGGAGTAAGCTTTATACATTAATTATATATTGTATGAAATGTATCTGATTTTATCCATGCTGGAGAAGATTTTTTTTTTTTGGTGAATGTGTTTGCTAAACTTGAAGAAGGTAAAGCTGCTTGTATTAGTGAGCTTGTGACAGGCTGGGAAGGTTAGAGGGAGTGCTTAATTTAGGGAATGTGTGAAGCAAGGATTCAGCAAGAGAGACTTGTGCATGAAGAATTAAACACTGCCATTGAAGTGTGTGCATTTAATTAAATATGAGATTACATAAACCACTGCTATGAAAAGGGCTTGAATGCCCTTTTCATGATGAAAGAAAAATTAAAAGGTTATGAATTTGAGGGATTTTCTTCTCATGAGGTGTTTCATGCATTTGCATTGAGTGCCTTCATGTGTTTGGTAACATGGTAAGCTCTGTCTGCATGGGCCACTTGCACAGCCCCATCAGAGCACCTTGGATGTTACTGTGCCATGTGCCTGCAGCACTTGGCAGGTAGGGAGGCACTTGTGGGACATGTTTTCTGAGGCTGTGGTCAGTAGGATCAGTGATCTTCCAAGGCCATCCTTGCCAGCCACCTGCACCACGAGCCCTCTAGCCCAGTTCTGGAAGCTTGGCTGCAGGCAGTGGGGTGCACAGCCAACATCTGCTGTTGGCCTCCTGTGGCTGCTCCCTGTAGTCAGGGAGAATTTAGGAAAAATGGCCAGGATTGATTTCTGGAAGGGCTCTGCTTTGGGATTAGAAAGCTTAAAAGTGGCTTTGTTATAGACAGGGAGGAAAGAAGTAATTCAGCTACAATTAGCTCATGTGGTCTAAATGTTTCTGCGTGATCCGAATTGTCGGTTTAGATGTGAATTTGTCAGATCTTACTCTGGCTATCTGTGGAAGATGGGAAGCTGAAAGTGAGTGTTCCATTGGATATCTTCAAAATCATTAAAAGCTAAATTATGTCACTACAACTGCCTGTTGGCCCCAGTGACATAAATACCCACATCTTTTATTACAAAGTGCTGTCAAGTTTAATGGTGTTTCTAGCTGCCCTAATAAGTTGGCAAGAATTGTCTATACTTAAACAAATTTAGTGATAAACACTGGTGCAACATCTTACTGACTTTTGTTTTAGCATGAGATATGCACATCTGCTTTTTTTTTAAGAACCCATTTATATGCAGTCACAAAAGAAGTCTCATTAAATGGAATGATTCATGGGTTTGTTTTTACTTTTGAAAGAAAAAATAACCCTTTGATGCACTCTCTTGAACTGTCACAAATGAGTTATTTTAGCAGTATTTGATGGACACTGTCTTTGTTTCTCCTGACGAGTTCAGTGAAAGCACAAATCCACAGACTGTAACTAAAAAATAATTATTACTGCATGTACTTTGAACAGAATATATTTAAGTTAGGGCCAGGAAGAGCTGATTTATGGATTGATGAGAACACCAGGTTTTCATGTTTATTCAAATTCATGTTCAAAAAGCTTTAATGTGCCAGTGTTTGGAGTTCCTTTGCAATTTTGAGTTAAGCTGTTAATTAAATTGTATTAATGGCTTTTAAATGCCTACTATTTAAAGTGACCCGAGTAGAGGAAAGTCTGCAGCAGTAATTAAGGCTATAGGCATTTGTTTGTTTTGTGCCCTTTGGCACAAAAGGCAAATGGAGGTTAGGTTTGGGCATGTCGTGTGTGCATGTTGGAGTTCAGCATGTGAAGAGTTGGAGAGAGGTTGCAGGGTGAAGTTGTGCATATGTGGAGGGCCTGGTGGGGGTCCTGATGGGGATTGGCTTGTTAAGAACCACCTCCTCCTCTAATGACAAGGATGATGATGAAAACAGGGAGAACAGACCTGGGAAAGTGCCAGGGCTCAAACAGAAAACAGGACAAGGAAGCCTTTCTGTCATTCTGCATGAAAAATAGAACCAGCATGAAAAGAGTTACTAAATATTGCTTCTATTACTTGTATATTGTATTTCATATTAGACATTGGGGACTAAGAAGCAAGCATGCAGGGTGATTTGCTTTCTGTTGTATGTAATTGTGCTCTGCTCAAGGTGTCCTTTACAGATTTCCAAGGTGTGCTTTTGCTATGTTATTTGACCTAGTTGATTTCAGTGCTGTAGATGATTGCAGAGGTGAATTAATTGTCTATTGTAAGTATAATTTAAGCTCAGAATTGATTGTTACAATTTCTGAGTAAGCTGTAGAGATTTATTATTAGACTTTGCTTATTATGTTTTTAACAACTAATACTAATTTGATGAGTAGAATTTCATTGTATGCTTGTTGCTCTGTAACTTCCTTTGATGCTATAGTTTGAGAAATGTCAACTTTTTTATAGGGTTGTCTTTTTTTTTTACACCACCATTGTTTGTAATTTTTCTTAGAAGTCTGAAAAATAAAATTATTTTCCAACTGGTTTTGTCCTTTTCCATCTGACAAGTTCTGGATTTCATTTTGCTTTGCTTTTTATCCCCTGACCTTCTTCTTGCAAGTTGAATTAATATGGAGTGTTTATGGCTGTCTCTTCCTGCTACTTAGTGTTATACTCAAATAACTGTTGACAGCTCCAAATGTGCCTATTAGTAGGAATTACATTTATGTATGTCTAGCTCATGCTAAACTCATATTTATGTCAGTGGGAGTTCTTATTTATGTAGAAATATAGTCATGAGTACTGCTTTGGTAGTTAACTTGCTATGATAGAGGGGAAGAGAAGTTAGTTTGTGTGTGGCTGTTGTCATCAATCTCTCTTGGTATTCAGCCTCCAACTTGAGTTGATGATTTTAAAATACCAGGGCCTCCTTGGGGACAGTGTGGTCCCAAATTAGGAGCTAATCTACCCAAATTCTCTGTGAGGTATACTTGTATAATTCCTGCTACTACAGTGACTCTGTGCCTCCAACTTTGAATCTCCCAGCATATCTGTAGTAAGTGGAAATGTGGTGGTCTTTAGGGATAAAAGGGGTTTTATCCATCAGGTAGTGGGATCCACAGCACTGAGGGCTGAGAACCCTTCCCTACACAATCCAGGGAGGACTGGTACCTGCCTTGGGAGCGCGTGGATCTCAGTTTAAGTGAGGACTTGGTTTGGCTAGGTGGTAGGATATTTAACTCTTTTAGTCTGTCCTGTAGAAACGGCTTTATTTTGCGTTACAGCTCCATGGGAAGGCACGTGCATGCCTGGAGCAGGCTCTTTACTGCTGTGCTTGATCATGCAGCCCCACATCCCCCTTTCAGAGCTGGTTATCACCTGCAGCCTTGGGTGAGTGCAGAGTCTCTGGGTTCTAGAGAAACTGAATATCTGTGTGTCCCTTGTGCATTGTAGATTAGGGAGAGAGACTAAGCCTAGGGAGAAGCACAGCTGATGTGACTTCAGGCAGAGAAGGGGCTTGAACTCTGGAGCATCCTACACTGACTTCCCTGGTACTAATCTCACCAGGGTCATAGGCAGCCTGTCATTGGGTTAGGAATATAGCCTTAATCTTCCAAATCCTGTACCAGCCCTTAGCCATAGAGTTAGCTGGTGCTTCTCCTGTCATTACAGATACTGCTTTTGAAAGTGGTGAAAGAGAAGGCCTGTAAGGTGTTAACTTTCTTTGTGAAATCTGAGAAATGGCAGCTGCATGACGACATGGCCATATCTGTGTAACTGAGAATGTTTTAATTTTTTTTGGCTTTTAATCAAGTACTTTTCTAATGTAGTACTAAAACAGATACTAAAGATATCACAATGTACTGTTATCTACAATCTTAATTTAGGTATTTCTTTTTTTCTGTTGGGAGTCGTTACCTCTTTCCCCAGGAGACTGAAAACCTTATGTGTTTATCTTGTACTGTGTTTATTTCCATGCTTTCTCTGACAGTGTAGGAACATGATTATTTGTAATTGCTCATCTTTTACATCTCTTTTTTTACAGTATTGATGTGTGGTGCTGTAACATTTTATGCTTCCTCCCACCTTTAAAAGAGCTACAAGCTGTCTAAATTCTCAGCTGAGAAGGATGCATTTGTCATCTTCAAGAGCATTGTTGCTGCTTGTATTTCTGCTCTAATCTCAGAGCTCTGGGCAGTTGGGCAACACACTGTCAGAACTCTAACAGGAACAGTTTGCACCTCGGAGGAACCTGGAAGTCAGTTGTCATTATTGACCTGAATGATGTGTTTGTGAGGTTTCTGTGCCTGGGTCTTGCTGACTTTTTGCATGAATTAGAAAACTTGCTTTTGTGCTCTTTTCTTTCAAGATTTAATTCCAGTTGTTTTTCTATGAGTCCTGACTATGATACATGAACCAGCAGTGATGTGCATCTCCCAGCACGTGTCACCACAAATGAGGTGCCTGCACTGGACAATGATTTGGCCATCTGGCATTTTACTTACATTTTACTGTTACTGTAAAAGGCTTTGAAGGCTCTGAAATTTTTACTTAAAGTAGTGTTATTCTTCAAACTTTTCAGAGATTCAAAAGCATCTTATAGCCCACAGCATCTTTCTGAAATAGAAGAAACCCATGATCATTCCTGCTCTTGACAATAAAATGCAGTCATTTTTGGAGCTGGTTATGCAGACAAAAGCACCTAGTGCTGTGCAGATAAAAGATAAGCAAAAGTGTGTTCTCCAGTTGAAGCTGACAGAAAAAAGAGGCACAAAACAGGTGGATGTAGTGTCAGGCTTAAAGCTACATTAGTTTTGTTTTCCTTTTTGTAGCTTTGGCCAGGAGCCCAAGTCTATTGTAGAGATCATCTCCATCCTCTTGATCTCATCTCCCATCCAGGTGTGCTTATGCACTGTGTAGAGATATTGCTTAATGTCAGCTTGCAGGAAAGGAAGAGGTTTTTTTTCCTCCCAGTTCTCCAGTTAACTTGTCCAGTATTTTAATGCTTCTTGGCAGCTTTCAGGCTTCACTCCCAAGTAATCAAGGAGAGACCCAGCTTCCTTTTCCATTGCTGTTGCTGGTAAGAGCTTATATAGGTGACCCAGCTCTTCCAAAGGTGTGCATGTTTTAGGTCAAGGGGTAAGAATTTGGATTTGAGATGTCACAGGAACACATGAGACATGCCAACCCTACCAGGACAGTGCAGATCTGACTTGCTTTCAGCCCTGTAGAAGGTTACCTTATCTTTTATCTAAAAAATTGTACTCAAGGTACTTTTCATCTGTCATGAAAAAATCCTCACAACTGTTGTGCAAAGAATAAGGGTTTTCATCTAAATTTGGAATAAGAGTTGGCATGTTTTGGGGTCTGGTACAAAGGGGAGCAGACAGCCTATGGTCTGTAATGGGAAAAGGAGTGCCTGCCACAGAAGCACTGGTGAGTGAAATAACAATGTCAAGAAAAGAGAGCATCTTTCCTTACATGAGGGAATGCAGACAATATAATGCAGCAGAATTCATTCTTCTGTACCAAACACAGGTGTTCCTGGATTGCTTTTTTGTCAGAGAGCCTTGGAGATCTTGATAAACCACATTATTGACCTTCTATCCCCATCACAATGAACAAATGGGAAAATTTGCTTCATCCCCTAAATAAAATCAAGCTGGATAATAGCTTTTATTATTACTGATACCAATGGCTACTTCTTCCTCTGTTGGGAGCAGTAGCTTTTCTGAAGAGAGAGAAATACTTTGAAGGAATCATATGGCAATAAAAGCTGGAAAAAAATTTCCCTTTGGAATGTAGGGTTTGTGGGGTTTCTGTTTTGATCCAGCTGTGAAGGAGACTTTTCACATTGCTTGGAATGTGGCCAAAATGAGAAAATGCTTTCTATCTGCTTCCCCCCCGCCCCCCGCATAAAATTGAGATCCATTTATTTCCAGAAAAATTCAACAGAATCCTACAATACTACAAAGTGTTAGCAGACACTTTCTATCTTCATTTTTTAAAAGGAAAAAAGTAAAATTCACCTGCAGAGGAAGAAAAGAGAGGAAAAGCATAGATGTAAGGACAGCATGGATTACATGGATCTGAACTCAGGGGAAGTGAATAACTCCAGTAGCAGCCGTGGATTAAGATTTTCAAGTTTGATTCCCATATGGTTTATCTCCTTCTGGAAGATCATAAGCAAAGTTACTTTCAAAAAACCTCAATTCCTTGACTTGCATTTCTGAAAAATGTTTTTAATGTCTGCCAACATTCTATTTTTAAGGTTGTGCATTAAAATACTATGCAGGAAATATTTTGTTTTGATTAACAGTCAGTGATATCAAAGTAATTGCATGGCTCAGAAGGAATTGGCGAGTGTCAGTAGGATAGCAATCACTTAGATGGGATGTCTGGAGGGCTGACAGCAGCTCCCTGTGAGTAGATGAGAGGACTGAAAATAGATGCTCAGTAGGGGTGTGACCTTTCCAACCAACCTTTTTTGACAGAGCCACTTAAAGCTGGAAGTATGCAAATTAGAAGGTGAAATGTGTTCCAACAACATTATACAAACTGTGTTTAAGCTTGTCCACAACTCAGGACAAGACATAGGAGTGGAATTAGTTTTGGTAAGTCAAGGTTCCCAATATACTTTATTAGTTCAAGATATCCATGGACATACTTTCAGTCTGGCTGATAACATGTTAGCAGAATTACAGTGAGTTGTAATTACTTGTAATCAGATTATGTCTGAAGGTGTTGGTTGTGTTGTGGTGTAGGCAAATCCTTACTGTTTGTCATAGTCGACCCTATTCCAAGTTACATTACTTTAGTCATAAAGAACAAATAATTTTTCCAGTTTGTGAAATGTAATAATATGGTAACAACATTTTCGTATGGGTAATGCAATTTTGGGATTTGTTAGCATGAAAATATGTGGCAACAAATCTGCAGAATAGAAAATGGTTTATTACCTACTCCATTGAACCTACTCCATGGTTTCATTATACTGAAACCAATTTGATAAATGAATCACTGTAATATATTTATATGTTCAGAACTGAATGAATGCTTCCCATAGCAAAGAAGGTAGTAAATGTGCATAAGCCATTCTGCTAGAAAAATGCCTGCTAGTTTTCAGGATGGACTGTTTTTAAAATTCCTTGAGATTTTATTTATTGCTTTATTATGCAGAGTTCTGAATGCTTCTGCTGAAATTCCAGGGAACTTGTCTAGAGGAGAAAGGAGAAGGAATTCTTTAGAAGCCCATAAGGAGGATAAGACTGTCGAATTTACTGCTCATGCAATTGTACAGTTCTGACCAAAATGTCCCTCTGAGTTGAGCAGAATGCTTGTGCAGACTTCAGCTCCTTTCCTTTGACACTCCTAGAAGCAAGGCCACTGAAATCAGTGTACCTAAAATGTTCACTTCATTAGAGATTGGGGATGCATGTGAGCTAAAATACATAAGATGGACCTTTGCTATTTAAAACAGGCAGATTTCAAACCCTGTCCCATAGTAGAAGCGTGGAATTGACTGCTCTGGACCTCAGGGAA